GGGGGGGGGGGAACGCAATTTTAGTTTTTGAACAAAGTTGTACTATCGAACATACTTTAATCAAAGTGAAATTCGCATCGGAAACATTGGTGGAAGAGTAGGGCGCTAGAGAGATGGCTGCTGGACTGCTTTGAGCTGCAGATATCTGGCTGCTGTCATCACCGACCCAATTGACGAAAAACGACTGATGGCGAATGTGCGTTATTGAGAGGAGGAGGGGACCTAGTGAAGAATGAGAAAGGAAGGAAAGAAGGGTTTTGACTGCTTATCAAGTCGACTCAAGACTAGTCGTACCTTCACAGAGATTAGTTGCCTCATTGCACCGGAGACTGAGCGATTCATCGCAGAGAGTCTGGTTGGTGATTCGAAGGTCTAGTGACGGCAGAGAAAGTCGACACGCTTGGCGGGATTCACGTGCACAGACCAAGTCACAGTGACAGTGGTCAGTGGCGGAGGGCACTGCGTGGTAGTGACCACTGGCACAGTCACTTCGCGGAGATTTAACCACCAGCGAGCCTAGGGGCTCACCATTGGAGCACTGAGAACAGAGGAGGAGAGAAGAGGAGTTGACTGGCGGAGACACTTCGGTGGGCGTTTGCCGCTGGCACTGGACGAGGCTTCTGCTGACGGCGATGAACAGCAGCAGAAGAGAGAGGCAGGCGACGGTAGGAGAAGAGTGCACCAGGGGAAGTCTGACGCCCCGGTGCCTGGTCCCCTCGGAGCCCATTGCGAATGACACACTGCTGCAGTGGAGTCGGCGTGCCACTGAAGACGGGGACAGAGGACGCAAGGTATCACACTCACACACACACACACACACAGCTGGTGTCCTAGTGTCGCATGTTCGTCAAAGGACTGACGACAGCCTCNTCGGAGCCCATTGCGAATGACACACTGCTGCAGTGGAGTCGGCGTGCCACTGAAGACGGGGACAGAGGACGCAAGGTTTCACACACACACACACACAGCTGGTGTCCTAGTGTCGCATGTTCGTCAAAGGACTGACGACAGCCTTCAGACGACGGAAGGAACAGACGGTGGCACTTTAGTGGTTGACACTGCTACAGCTGCTACTGTTGTGGGGACTGCAGTGTCCAATCTCGGTGCGATGCAGGTGACGGTTTGCCCTGAGCAGGAGGCATTGGAGGCCACAGCATGGCACACGGTAAGCTCACAAAGAAAAAAGAAGAAGAAGAAAGAGAAGGAGACAGATGCAGGCAATGCAACAAATGTCGAGCGACCGAGCGCACAGGAGGCAGTGACGGCGGCAGAAGGCAGAAGGCAGAAGGCAGACGGGCCGAATGTCGATTCAGTGGCAGGCCAGTGGTGCTTCACCGGAGACGGCAAAGGTGAACGGCAGTCAATGCAACACCACGAACGCGAGAGTGTTGCCTCTTGCTCTAACACACACACACACACATACCACAGTCGCCACAGACACCACAGCCAGCCAGTCCGCCTTATTCTCCGTCTGATTTACCTGGACAGGTAGTCGAACTACTGAACGACTGCTGGAGGACGGCTGCAGGCGCTAGGGCAGACGGCTCGCGGACGAAAGAACTCGTCTTCGACGATGCACCAACAGCAACAGCAGCAACGGCAACAGCAGTGGCAGTAATCGCCGCGTCCCGGGCTGCCGTCGGTGAATGTGAAGTGAATGTGCACCTTCGTGACAGAAGGAAAAGGCTGCTAAAAAGGCGAAAAGATGGACATAAATTTGTAGCGGCTAATGGGGCTCCGGGAGAGGAGACTCAGGTGAGGCACTGCCACATTTAACCAACAACGAACACACACAACTCGGCGACGGGGACAGTTTGGTTGAAAACAGAACCACTCGACAGTAAAAGTGATACTGCCAAGTTGGTGGAAGAGAGCAGGACAAAGGCGCACGAGTCAGCAAAGTGCTGCTCTCACCAATGGAGCTAGTAACTATTTGTTGCTCCACTAAGGTTAGACAATTCTGTCCATTGTCTGGAAGTGCACTGAACCACTCGAACCGAGCAGAGAATAGACTGTTTTTTCGCTCTCGCTCATGTGTGAGCAAGTTTGTGTGTGTTCCGATGGAGGATAGTAGAGTGGAGATTGGCGCCACTGAAAGTGATCGTGCTTAGGAGGGAAAGAGAGGGGGGGGCAGAGTGAGCTGACTGCTGAAATGTCTATAGTCTCTAGCAATTAGAAGTCCTTTAGTCCGCAGGGAAGCAGAAACAGTGTGTGTGTGTGAGTGTGTGCAGCGTGAACGACAGTAAGACACCGTGCTGCAGTCGGGGCCGCATCCGTCATTATCATCGATGATAATGAGATAATCACTCATGGCATTGTCAGTGGCTAGTCACGACTCGAGGTCTGCCCAAAAGGTATGAGGCGACGTTCAGTGGACGAGCACAGCACAGCACTCACTGCGGCCACAGGTATTGCACAGCGGCCGTCGGTCTGCCGTCTTCAACGACGACGGCAACGGTGTGAGGTGAACATCGGCGAGATCACTCTTCGCAGTCAGTGGCAGTAGTAATGGCCTTTTTGGTGATGCTGATGACGGCGGCGGTGGTGGTGGTGGTGAACTGGCGCACTCTGCTGCAGTTGAGAAATGGCACAGTCGATCGATAAGCGCCCGGCATGCGACCTAGCCGGACACTACACTACAGCACTACTATTAATAACCACTCGGGCAGTCTCTTTCTCTCTCTCTCTCCTTCACTTCCCCGTAACTTCACGTGTAAGCCGATCATTTGCACAGCTCGGCGGCGAAAGATGCGCCCGTAGGACAGAATCGACGACTGCAGTCTCCGTTACCATCGAAGTGTGTCATCAACAGTAGACAAATGGCATTGTCGCACTGGCGGCTTATTATTTACATGCAGGGCGAGTCATAAATGGCTCGGGCGACTAAATGATGAAGCTGAACACATACTATACACACTAACCATACAGGCACTCGGCAGAAGCAGCAGTGAGGTGATGTAAATGACAAGTGATAGTCAGGTCATAAAAACCAAAGCAAGCCGGCACAATGAGACTGACGAGACTACGGGAAAAGAAAATACATTCCAAATCACAGCAAAGTTGCCTACTTTTTAGCTTTCTCTTTTAGACTATCAATTAGCTGGTTAAAGTCACGGTTATCTTCCCATGGACGAGGGCCGCGAATGTTTTTCCAATCATCGTTATCGCCTAATTTTCCTAAAGCTTTTATTTGCTCTTCTTCTTGCTTCTGAACTTCAACTTCTTGTGGCTCTTCATCATCACCACTTCTCCTCTGTATAATACAACTAGAGATGCTTTATCCGAATCAATATTTATAGACAAACAAACACTTACCGTGCCATATTTCCGTTTGTAGCTGTGAATCTCGTAACGAATTGAGGTAAATTCTCGCAACAGAAAAGATCCCAGCACAACAAAGCTCTGTGAGAAAAATGGTAGGTGTGAATTTCAAATATGTTTACTTGTATCTAAATATAACATCCAAACTACAAATAAAACCAAAATATACCAGAAACGGGACGCCGTACTTGAAAGTTGATGCGAAGGACATTGTTGCTGTTATTCTCTCACCCGATCCACCGGCGACAAGCCATGTGACCTGAAAGTGAAAAAGAGAGAAGGGACAGGAAAACTTTCACGCACTTTCCTCAAAGAGTAACGTCTTTATGAAGAGGACCCCTCACTGCCCACACCGCAAAAACTCACATGTGATTTTGTTTTTTTGAAGATTGTTTTTGTTCTTTAGATTCCCTTCATCTGGAACGGTTCGGACGCCGACTGAACAACCATGTTGGCTGTGAACATTTTGAAGCAGCAGTTGCGAGTTTTGCCAAAATTCGGATCGTATCTTCATCTGCAGCCGGCACATCATGCTTCGATTCAGTACCTCTTACCAGCGTCAACTTCAAATCTTCAGCTGGAACGACATTCTTCCAGCTTTTTCAGTAAAAGTAAGTAAAGTGATCAATGTTTTTGCTTTCCTAAAATTGCTTATCAACGCTAGATCCCGGCGATCAGATTTGGAAAGGTCTCCTCTCTGTGAGTAATGCAGGTCGAAGAAGAGGTCGTGGAAGAGGCGCCAACCGCAAGACCTACAAAGACCTCAACAAGGGCCAAACTATTGGCGTAGGCGAAAAGAATTTTCTTTGGCCTGGTCTTAATGCGCCCGTCATCAAAGGCACAGAAGTGGTCAACCACCAGGAACTGAAACCTGATCCAAAGTACAAGGAGAATATTCTCAAAATTCGCGATCAGATGGATAAAAAGAATCGAGCTTTTGTTCATCCTCTGGAAAGAGGCTGGAGCGGCACTAAATTGCTTGGTAAATGGATCGGCCCGCCTGACCCGATTGCTGGTGATGAGTTTGTGGGCTTTGACACAAAAGTACTTGTGGTAAAGCCAATTTTCTACATGAAACCCAACTTTGGCCGAACGAAAAAAATTTCAGTTCTCACAGTTACCGGTAATGGTAATGGACTTGTTGGTTACGGCGTCGCCAAGTCAAAGGATATGCGGACTGCAATCAACAACTCAAAGAATAAAGCCGGACAGCGTTTGTTCCGCGTTGAACTGGAAAGCAACCAAACTTATGCTACTGTTCTGCATGACTTTCACTCGAGATTTGGCAGCACTAAAGTGTTTGTTGAAAAGAAGCCTCCCGGATACGGCCTTTCTGCTCACCGATGCATTCGAAGCATTTGCAATGTCCTTGGCATTACCGATATCAAGTGTAAAGTGGAGGGTGCAGAGAGAAACTACCTGAATGTCACTCGCGCCTTTCTTTTGGGTCTAATCAACCAGAAAAGTTTCCAGCAGATGGCCGATGAAAAGAACTTGAATGTAGTTGAGTTTAATGAAAACATGAGCAAATACCCGGTCGTCCGTGCAAGACCCTCCAATGGTAAAGTCCGCACGGATCAGCAGATTGGTCCAAATGAAATACTTGATTTCAGCATCTACATTCATGACGGCAAAGTGAAAGAGCAGTCGATTTTGACGCCCATGTTCTACACGAAGCATAAAGGCTGGAGAAACTACATGAAAAAGTTCAATTACCGCAAAAGTCGCGAACAGGTGCGCATTCAACTGATTGCCAAGTACGGCCAGTTGGACAGCTACCTGACTGTTCGTGAAAAGCAACGAATTCAAGCAAAACGAGAGGCTTTCTCCACCAACCAGCAGTCTGCAGAGTGAGCGGCTGTCGCATGAGGTTAGTCGCACGAGACAACTCACTTCAATGTCGTTTTCTATTTCTATTTGTAATTAGTAAAGTGGTTTCTTTCCCATTTGGCACATTAATGAAAACATGGCACACTGTATTTTAGTTGTCTACTCTACTGGTAACACAAGTTTGAGCTACTGAGCAAGACAAACAAACAAACAAACGATATGAGTATTAAAATCGAGTGGGGTATTTGGTGTGTAGGTAGTGAGTAGAAGAATAACTTTGTGCTTTATGCTTTGCCGTTGACACTGTTCTCTGCCAGCTCCTTTGGCTCATGCGGTGCCGGCAGTTTCTCATATGACGGAGTCACGCCCCAAATCTCCCGAGCGTATTCGGCAATGGTTCGGTCGCTTGAAAACTTGCCGGAAGAGGCAATGTTGAGGATTGCCTTCTTTGCCCACTCCTGTGGTTTCTGTTGTTTTAAGCGTAAAATAAGATTAGTCATGTAAAGTGGTGACAGTCTGTAAAACAGTCTTACCATGTAGAGAGCAGAGACTTTGTCTTGACACTTGATGTACGCCTCGTAGTCGGCAAAGACGAAGAAACGGTCGTGGTTCAACAGCACATTGACAACGTCCTTAAACAGATCAGGCTGGTTGGGACTGAAGAAGCCATTGTTGATCTGGTCAACGACAGTGCGCAGTTCAGCATTGGAGTTGTAGTAGTCCCAGGCGTTGTAGCCCTTCTGCTGCAAGGCCAGCACCTCGTGCTCGTCCATGCCAAAGATGAAGATGTTCTCGTCACCCATCTCCTCCTTCATCTCCACATTGGCGCCATCCAAAGTGCCAATAGTGAGAGCACCGTTCAACTGAAGGAAATTAATGGTCAGTAGTTGAATGATAAAGTACATGCATCGGCGCAAGCTTACCATAAACTTCATGTTACCAGTTCCAGAGGCCTCAGTGCCGGCAGTGGAAATCTGTTCGCTCAGATCAGCGGCAGGAATAATCTTCTCGGCGTATGAGACTCGGTAGTTCTCGAGGTAGACCACCTTCAGACGGTCTCCCACAACGGGGTCATTGTTGACCACTTCGGCCACCTTGCAGATCAGGCGAATGATCTGCTTGGCCATGTGGTAGCCAGGGGCTGCCTTGCCACCAATCTGTCGGGAGAAATCAAATCAATGATGACAAATACTAAGCTACTTGTAAAAAGGGCTTCTTACCATGATGGTACGCGGCACAATGGCAACGTTCGGGTCGCGCTTGATGCGATTGTACAGCGTGATAATGTGCAGACAGTTAAGTAGCTGGCGCTTGTACTCGTGAATGCGCTTCACCTGAATGTCAAACATCGACGCCACGTTGATCTTGATGCCGTTCTCCTTGTAGATAATGTCAGCCAGGCGCATTTTGTTCTCCGACTTGACCGTCATTACTGCCCGAACAAAGTTGGCGTCATTGACCAGTGGCTTCAGCTTCGCCAGCTGATCCAGATGAACAGGCCACTCTTCGCCAATCTTGTCGCTGATGATATCAGCCAGGCCAGCATTGCACATGAGCAGCCAACGGCGGGGAGTGATGCCGTTGGTTTTGTTGCAGAACTTGTCGGGCGTCAGTTCGTAAAAGTCCTTAAAGACAGTCTTTTTGATGATTTCAGAGTGGATTGCCGCCACGCCATTGACTTTGTGCGATCCAACGACGGCCAAGTTGGCCATGTTCACCTTCTTGTCGTCACCCTCCTCAATCAGGGACAGCGAACGGAGCTTGTCAAAATTGCCCGGGTACTTCTTACCGATTGCATCCAGGTGCTTTGCGTTGATCTCGTAAATGATCTGCATGTGGCGCGGAAGGACGTGCTGAATGAGTCCGCACGACCAGCGCTCCAGAGCTTCGGGGAGGACGGTGTGGTTGGTGTAGGCAAACGTCTTCTCGCAGATTGCCCAAGCTTTGTCCCAGCTCATGCCTTCAATGTCCATAAAGATGCGCATCAACTCGGGAATGGCCAGAGCAGGGTGAGTATCATTTAACTGAATGGCAACTGCAAAATAAACATCGATTATTCAGTGCTGTTTTTTAAATGCCCATGTTTTTACAAACCTTTATCGGAAAACTGCTCAAACGATGTACGAGAATGTTCAACGGAGCCAAATTTACTGGACTTGAATCGACGAATGATGTCCTGAAGCGTGGCAGACACCAACAAGTACTCCTGCTTCAGACGAAGTTCACGACCTTCGAACACGTTATCGTTGGGATACAGCACACGGGTGATGTTTTCTGCCACATTGCGATCAATCACCGCTTGAATGTACTCTCCGTTGTTGAAAAACTGTGTTTTTTTGAAAAAGTGTAAAAATCAATATAAAGAAAGAGAACAGAAGAACTCACCTTCAGGTCGAAGTTCATTGGCGACTTGGCCGACCACAGTCTCATGGTGTTGACCACGTTGTTCTGGTACCCAGGTACCGGACTGTCGTAGGGCATTGCCAACACGGTCATTGCATCCACCCACTTGGTGCCGTCCAGACGTCCGTAGAACTGCACTGGAATCTGGTACTCGGGACGAGCTGTCTCCCAGGGGTTGCCGAAGCGCAGCCAGTCATCAGGCTCCTCCACCTGCTCACAGTTGCGGATCTTCTGCGCAAAAATGCCGTACTCATAGCGCAGTCCGTAGCCATAGCCAGCAATTCCCAGCGTGGCCATTGAGTCAAGGAAGCAGGCTGCCAGTCGTCCCAGACCGCCATTGCCAAGACCGGCGTCCTCCTCAATTTCCTCCAGTTCCTCAATGTCCAAACCCATCTGGTAGAGGGCTTCATCGCAGGCCGACTGGACGTCAATGTTCAGCATCGTATTGGACAGTTGACGTCCAATGTAGTACTCCAGAGAAAGGTAGTACACGCGCTAAATGAACGAAACAATGTCAGTTTAGCAAATGAAGATTATGTTCACTGTCACATACCTTGGGATCCTTGTCGTAGTAGTTCTGCTGCGTGCGAATCCATCGTCCGACCAGGTGGTCGCGGACAGTGTTGGCCAGCGCCAGAAAGTAGTCACGCGTGGTGGCCACATTTCGGTCCTTGACCAGAGTGTAGTGCAGATGACGGTTGAAGCTGTGCTTGATCTCGGAAACATTGCCAACTGCCAGGGGAAAGCAATGACAGATGTGAAAACGTCGGCAGAATGAGTTGACACTTACCGTCAGCAATGTGACGAACGCTGATCTGCTTGCGACGCTCTTGATCGGTTTGCACTTTACCAGACATCTGAGGAGAGCAAGGGTGACAGTTCGGTTAGTGACAACAGTGGCCAATGACAACTCAGTCACTGTCTTACCTTTGTTTGTGCTTGTTTGGATCAAGTCAATTACAAGACAAGGGACGGCGAGAAGACGATGAGTTTGGAGCTGAAGAGAGAAGAAGACGCTGAAGAGAGACTGGCACTCTGTGCCTGGAAACGACTCGACTGTGCGTGACTACTGCTGCTGGTGGTGGTGGTGGTGGTGGATGCCTGCTGTGCTGCCTGCTCTCCCGAGGAGGTGACAGTCGAGTTTATTTCAGTCAGTCAGTCAAACCGCCTGGACAACAGCTATTTTTGCCTGCTCCAGGCTCTAATCAGCAATTTGTCTTCTTCGCCGCCTGCAGCAGCTTCAAGATCAACGCTGAGGACTTAGCGCGGCTGTTTCACTTCGGCGCTGCTTTCCGTCCTTTGAAATGCCTCCACAAGTTTTGCTTCTGCTTCTTCTTCGCTCTGTCCAGTCACGTTGGGCAAAGACAGGGTAGCGGCACTTGCGTGAGTTGGTGGTGCCAGGTGGCAGAGGCACTGCGAATCCGAGCTGTACAGCAGTGTACGACTGTACTGCCTTTCGGTCTTCTGCCCACCAGCTATATAGCCGAAGAGATGAACTGAATGACATTGGCACTGCACGATCAGCGGATGAGCGCTGTCTGCCTGCCTGCTCCCCTAAAGTCATCTGGTCCCGTGTCATACGGATGTTCAGCTGGCCAACCGGCTGCCGTACACTGACGGCTGAAAGAGCGAGTAAAAGTACCGACAGACGCCTGCAGACAGTGCCAGTATGCGATATGCGTGACTGCTGTCAAATGTGGCGGTCTGCTCTTTCCAAGCAAGTGATAAACTGGCGCTGATACACGAGAAAAAGTAGTGCTCATTATCAGTGCCATGAGGTGCCCACTAATTATCCTGACCGACGGATGTCTTCCTCCTCCTGCTGTGTTATAATTCCAAAAAATGATAAGAGCAGTGTCATCGATCACATTGCCATATGCCAATTGCTATCAGTTCAGTACTTTGCTGGCTAAAGCTAAAGCTTGCTAAACGTCTGATGTGGAAAGTGCCGGCCAAAGTTTACAGCTTTGGGCATAGTTTACTAAATAATGCCAACCGTTTGCTTTTTGAACAGTTGTACAGAAAAGTACATTTGAATGCGGCTACGTAGAAGGTAACGGGGCTTGCACAGCACTTTAGGAATAAACCTCAAGTGCATCTTGTAGATGAACATGTTAGTTATTGCCAAGAAGAAAGAAATATTTATGTCAGCAATTAAACGGNGGAATAAACCTCAAGTGCATCTTGTAGATGAACATGTTAGTTATTGCCAAAAAGAAAGAAATATTCATGTCAGCAATTAAACGGGCAACGCTTCAAAGCAGAAAAAAGAAATGTAAAAGTCNGGCAACGCTTCAAAGCAGAAAAAAGAAATGTAAAAGTTGTGCCAACTTCGGGGCATCAAGGCATGAATCAAACTGCTTATCACAAAATAAATTGGTAATATAGCCCAATAGAGGGAGACAGTATCCTCNTGTGCCAACTTCGAGGCATCAAGGCATGAATCAAACTGCTTATCACAAAATAAATTGGTAATATAGCCCAATAGAGGGAGACAGTATCTTCAAACTGAAAAAATAAAAATAAAGCAAACTTGTTTTTTCGACAGACATTCTTGTCCTGACAACAAATTCTACTAGTTTTCGCTATACTTTTAACTACCATTTGGTTAAGTACTAATCAATCAGTTAATTGGTTCTGTTATGCTTGTCAGAAATGTTCACTCGAAGAGCGCGTGTCAGTGGCAGTTTATCGTTTCTCTCTGGGTAAGTTCCCTTCCTGCAATCCAAGTGACACTGCGTCCATCGTCGATCTGTCAGTGGCAGTGCCTAATCGGCTAAATGGTGGCCAGCAGTCCGAGCAGTGCTGTGTCCTGTCATCGAGCATATTTCATCGTCTTATCGTATTGCCGTTTCAGGCAAAGAAAAACAGAAGTAGGCAAAAGTAGCCATCGGTCGTCAAACTAATCGTCGGCGAACATCAGCAGGCACGTTTAGCACTGATCGTCAAGCCTGCAGCCGCTAATCGTCACTGGCAGTGTGATGATAAGCAGACAAATGATTAAAGTTTAATTTTAAAATGGGCATCCAGTCTGCTAAATGGACGGTATTTCATTTTGACACTCACCATTAGAAGAGTTCCAAAGCTTTCTTTAGTGCACTGAACTTGCCCATTTCAAACTTTTTACAATAAATAGATCAGTATTTCAAAATATTATATTTATTTTCCATTGATTTAGTTTATCGATGTTGTAGTGCTTAAATAGGATTAATTACAATTGTTTTTTTTCAGATGAGTAAGGCAAATAAAATAAAATAAAGTTGATTGTTTTTATTTTTTATTGAGTTAAAAACGTAGCTTTTATCTACTGCACTCAAAATGAAAGAACGCCGTGGATGCTTGTATTTTTAAATAGACCAGAAAAATGCCCACTCTCAACTGGACGAAACCAAAGTTGTTTCTGGTAGTTTGCTCAATCAGGTGCTCATCGTCTCACGCCACTTAATGCCTGAGATTACCGCCGGGTACTGTTCGGACGATGGTGAAGACTACCGAGGCTGCTGAGAACCAGAGATTTGCCCTGCAATCACCGAGATTGGTTCCTTTCGGCAACTGGCCACAGTTCAGTCGAGCATTGCTCTGCTCATTCGCCAATGCTTCTGCCCACACTTCCACAGTGGCCCATTTGTTCGCAGTAAAGATGCAACCCGCACTAATCGGAGATTAGTCACTTTCAGCCAATTACGTTGTTTACAATAAAAAGCAGAAAATATGTTCAGCTTCCCAAACTAGAAAAGAAAATTATCCTTTCGTTTTCTTTCGTCCTTCAGAGAGCATCGTTGAAGAGAATATGGGCACAAAATGTTTTCCATAGAGCTGTTAGTAAGGGTTGCTGCTGCATCAAATATGCCGCATCAGTTGTTCATTTAAAGAGCAATTACCTAATAATTGAAATAAACAAGCACTTTTCCTTTTTCCTCTACGCTTGTTACTGCACATCATTATACGCTGTTGAAGTGATTGCATGCCTCTGTGTTTGATTACATTGTCACCTCAAGTGTAGCTAACAGTCAGCAACCAGCAGACAGTCAACAGACTGCTCTAATCAAATTTAAAAATTAAATATTTTGATTGCCACCACCGCCGCGCGGCTCTTCACAGTACAGCAGCCTGTTTGCTTCTTGCAAACAGAAAGTAAATTTACACACGGATTACTATTTGTTTTACTTTACTTTTACCAAAGCTAGGGTTCGCTGGTGCGATCGACAGTGTAATGTAGTGTGGTGCAAAGGCAACGGTAAAGCTTTCATCAAACACTGAACCTGAGTAATGTTGGCACACAGTTGAGAGAAAGGAAGGGAGAGAGAGTGAGTGAGAGAGGTACCAGAGACAGAAGAAATCAGTGCACCACTTACCAGTGACGCCAAGTGGGAAGAAAGCCTTTCGACTGTACAACTGTTAATTGTGCCACCATTGGCGTCCCTTCCTTCACGACGAGATGTTCGGCAGTGGATGCTTCTAGTGCTGCTGCTGCCGCTGTTCAGCTGTCACACAGTGAGTAGTCATCTGCCGGACACTGGTCAATGGGCGCCGAGAGTCGATGATTGCATCTCGTGGCTGCACTCGAGTCTCTCCATTGCTCTCCCTTTCAGTGCCAATTGATTATCCGACCGGTCGCGCGATATTTGAACGACAAATACCTTGAGTTAATATTTGCATTAATCAAATATTAAGACAAATATAGAGGCGGTCTAATTGGTAAATATTTATCATCATCTGTGTAATTAAACAGCTCAACAGCAACATGAGTGTGTGTATGTTTGTGTGTCTGTGTTCACAAGTTTCTTGTTTGCTTCCCAAAAACAATGCCTGAGAATTAGTCTGCCTTTAAGTGCCCTTTTTGATGGGCGAATTCAGTGTACAGTCTGGCCACTCGATTAGATGAGCCGACTGATGATCAACACACTGGTGACCAACTGAGTGGCTGTAAAGAGTGTCTGAGGCGCCTCCTGAGCACCGGTGGCGTAAATTAAAAGTCAATCGAAAGTGGATCGAGTGAGCAAACAGTTTCTTTTGTAGACAAAGTGTAACAAGTGTAATAATAGTAAGAATAAACACAAACAGTGGGCGATGGGGATCAAATATTGACTGAATAATGGTCCACTGAACGAGAAGCAAGGTCAACTCGGAGACACCGGTCGAGGCGTCAATTGCTGCCGTGCTTTCGATGCACCACTGCAATCCTTGCCACTGCTTACTGCTTTTCTAATGAATTGCATTGCGCAGTACTTTCCCTCTCTCTATTTCTTTCTCTGACTAACAATGAACCAGAAGTGTGATGTTTAACCAGCTGCATCGAAGCAATAAGTGCGTTGAAATGAGCCATTGTACCACCTAATTAGTGATTGCTTTTTGCTGGTCAGTGTGATGTTGGCAGCTTGAACAAGTCGTAAAGTTTTAAAAGCGTATTTGTCAGAGCTAGACCACAGCTTGGAAGTATACTTGATTTTTCTAATAATATAAAGCATTTGGAATGTGACAAAAAGTATTTCGATTTTTCCTAAAAGTCAAAATTGCCCCTCACAGAAAGGCTCACCACAATTCAATGTGAGTCCATTGTTCTCTTGCAAAGTAAACTTCCTTTCAGTGTCCTCCTTTTTATATAGTCTGAAAGTTGTTCATTTTCATACTCATCTTTTTACCATACACTCGACAGATTGGTGGGAATTTTATTTGGACGCACAGCAAGTGAGCACGTCATCAGGGGCAACTGTCAGTTAATTGTTGGCTTTATAGAGCGAGCCAAGTGTTCTTTGAGAAGAGCAAAAGACACCGGCAAAGTGGCCCACCGCGAAAGTGCCAAAATGATGAACATCTGTGAACGAGTGACGGGGCGTTGGAGGAGCAGTTTAGAAGC